CAACATTAGACCATTTAAAGTGATTCACAGTCCATTCCGTCAAACTAAAATTAGTTCCGAAAGACTAAAACTATTCAGGTAACATCTAGGCTCTCGCCTATACATGACTACAGAAAAAAAAAACTGTAAAAATCAATCTCTGTCTCGTTTGTATACATAGCTTATCTTTCAACGTACTTTTAATTTCATAAGGATTAAACATGTGGTATTATACGTGTTGAAATTAGCAGCTCGTTACTATGGAAGCAGCAGACGTTATCGTGACGTCATCTGGTTGTAAAATGTCTCTGGCGGCGCGACCATGGCTGATAGTCCCTGTTCTTGTCAAGTCAGCTTGACAAATGAAAGCCAGTTGGGCGACATCAAGCCCTTGCCCAGTGGTCGTTTAAAGTCGAACAAGTCATAAAGAGATGTCTTTATGAACCACGTTCAGAAAAAAAAATAGTCTGTCGAACGTGTTTCACATATATATTTTTTGTAAAAATATTTTCTCCGCTATTGAAAGCCCATATATTTTGTTTATATGCTTGTTAAAAATCTGGTTGTGCCTAATCAAGTTAAATCAATTCAGACTTCATATGATGATACTTCGAACTTTTTTGTATTTAGAAAACATTATCAACCTATTTTGTTGTTTGTACACGAAATAAAATACGTGGATATTAAGATATCATCAGTTTAATTTACCTTTAATAGTAATAATTCGTTTGGTGATACTTAACAGTTTATACACGTATTTGTAATTCAGTTATTCCCATGAAACGTAATTTCCATTTCGATCGCTTATAAATAATAGTTGCGATCAAGGAAGCCAAACTTAAAAGTTAAAACTTGGTATTTGTTTGATGTAAGCTTACACGAATAAAAGAAAGCGTGATATTAGCTTAACGTCTTCCCGTTATCCGTTGTTTTCTTTGTTGTGTCCGTATTTCCGGTATCTATAGAGTACGGTAGTAGCAAGTTTGAGTGTGTTATTTCAGTGTGGTTGATGAATAACACCTTGTTTCTAATCACAATTCTTCCATTACGAATGGCTGAAATCGAGTTGAAATAACGTAGGATACAAAAATCAATCTGTAGTTAGCCTTACTTGACACTTAAATAGCTGGATATCCTCCATGTATCCTGAACTGAATGGAATCGAGTTGAAATAACGTAGGATACAAAAATCAATCTGTAGTTAGCCTTACTTGACACTTAAATAGCTGGATATCCTCCATGTATCCTGAACTGAATGGAAGCTTTACGACCCGCTATTACCGTTTCCGAGGCTCTAACCGTTCACGTGAATTACACTTGTGTAAGTATCATCGTTTAGGTAATGACATGGAGCTTAGAAGCACTCTTTCCTGCAATGAAACCATGTAGAAATCAAATATTTCGGTAGTTGTAATGGTATAGGAGAAGTAATCAATGCCATGGACAACTGCCAGTCTAAACTCGTAACACGCTATGTATATCAATATTCAAATTTAAACGTGTACAGACAACGAAAACCAATTTGTAATAATACAACATGATAGAAAGTTCGATTAGGCTTGTATTTTCATTTTCTGCCCTTTTGCTAACTCGTCCCTCTGGAGTAAAGAATGCGCATATGTTTTATGTTCTGTAAAGATATATGTGATATCTTTTTTAATAATGTGTTTTATGTTCTGTAATAATATATGTTTTATGTTCTGTAATAATACATGTGATATCTTCCTTAAAATATATGTGTTATCTTCATTAATAATATATGTGACATCTTCCTTAATAATATATGTGTAATCTTTCTTAATAATATATTTGGTATCTTCCTTAATATCATATGTGTTATCTTTCTTAATAATATATGTGATATCTTTCTTAATATCATATGTGTTATCTTCCTTAATAATATATGTGATATCTTTCTTAATATCATATGTGTTATCTTCCTTAATAACATATGTGATATCTTCCTTAATAGCATATGTGTTATCTTCCTTAAAAATATACGTGTTATCTTCCTTAATAATATATGTGACATCTTCCTTAATAATATATGTGTTATCTTTCTTAATATCATATGTGGTATCTTCCTTAATATCATATATGTTATCTTCCTTAACAAACTTTCCAGAGAACTACACCATTAAGGAAGATAAGACACATATTAGTGCACCCCAGTGGCACAGCGGTATGTTTGCGGACTTACAATGCTAGAATCCGGGTTTCGATACTCATGGTGGGAAGAGCACAGATAGCCCATTGTGTTGCTTTGTGCTTAACTTCAACAAACAAACACATATTAGTAGAGGGAGAAGAGACATATATTATTACAGAAAGATAAGACTATGTTATCAGACAAGATAGGACATACATTAGTAGAGGGAGAAGAGACATATATTATTACAGAAAGATAAGACTATGTTATCAGGGAAGATAGGACATACATTAATAGAGGGAGAAGAGACATATATTAATAGAAGTAACACAAAACATGAAAGCTAAAAAATAGATAAAATAATCAGTGTTATAAATTAAAGTAAACAAATGATATAGTGTTATTAATCCTTACACCAAAACATGATTTATAAATGACTTGAATATAAACTATAATAATTTCTATTAACTTTCTTTAATCTAGTTCATACCATATAAACAGCGCTTAGACCACTACTATATCTGTCGTATACCAGCTTGCTTGATGAGCCTTGATATTGGAAGAAAGGCCTCGTCGGCACTATATAGAGTAGAGATATTGTGGCTGACATATTATAACACATCCCTCATTAGTTTTGATATTAATAGAGTTACTAAATTTCAAATAACCTTGAGTAATTACAAGTAGTTACTCCAAATGCCACATCATTTGATCCGAAAGATGAAGACTACTGAAATTGGAAATATTTTCCTTTTATTCCCATTAACAACCACTTTATAGAGCATTTTATACGCGAAACGTTACGTACGTTTCCTCCCCCAGTTAACAAAACTACCGAAGCTGTGTTATATCGGTGACAAAGTTAAAAATATTTATGTGTTAATAGCTTAACAGACTTTTTTTTTTTTAATCAGTGAAAATATGTACGAAATAATAAGTTTAAATCATTGTATATTGGTTTACCAAGTCTTATTTTTGGTAGAGAGTTAAAAATGAAATTAATAGGTTTAAAGAAATATAACGTGCATGAATGTATAGGTTTTAAAACATTCGTGTATTGAAAACTGCAAATCTTCTTTCAGACACGAAATATTTTACTGAAGTAAATAGAAGCAGTTATATCACGAACGAGGAAGAACACGTGCCTAAAAAAAACTTATATTTTCCAGTAAAGTTTACTTAACGTTGTGCACAGTGTGAGCTAGAATGAAATCAGTGGTTTAAAACTCTTTTTTTTTTACTGTTTATTTCTAGAAGTTTCTAAAATATTCATGAATGGAATAAAGTTCTAGTGTTTAGTTAACAGATCCGAAAAGTTCTGTGGAATATTTATTCTTTGCCTGATATTGAGATTTTATATTTATTTTGGTTTATAAACTCTGTTTTGGAAACGTTCACTGAACCAGATTAAGAAGAAAAAAAAAAGACTATGTTATCTAAATTCGATCAAATGGTTTATTTTTATAGAGCACAACAAACTTATTGGAATGAAACTGCTGTATGATAATCAATAATAACAATGTTATCTGAAGGATTTTTCTTTGTAGGTTCCAGCAATGTACATGTATGATAATCAACCTTAACAATGTTATCTGAAGGATATATCTTTGTAGGTTCCAACAATGTACATGTATGATAATCAACCTTAACAATGTTATCTGAAGGATTTTTCTCTGTAGGTTCCAACAATGTACATGTATGATAATCAACCTTAACAATGTTATCTGAAGGATTTTTCTCTGTAGGTTCTAACAGTGTGCATGTATGATAATCAACCATAACAATGTTGTCAGAAGGATTTTTCTCTGTAGATTCGAACACTGTATATGTATGGTACCTTAACAATGTTATCTGAAGGATTTTTCTCTGTAGGTTCCAACAGTGTGCGTGTATGATAATCAACCATAACAATGTTGTCTGAAGGATTTTTCTCTGTAGGTTCCAACAGTGTGCATATATGATAATCAACCTTAACAATGTTATCTGAAGGATTTTTCTCTGTAGGTTCCAACAGTGTGCATGTATGATAATCAGCCATAACAATGTTGTCTGAAGGATTTTTCTCTATAGATTCGAACACTGTACATGTATGGTACTTTAACAATGTTATCTGAAGGATTTTTCTCTGTAGGTTCCAACAGTGTGCATGTATGATAAACAACCATAACAATGTTGTCAGAAGGATTTTCCTCTGTAAGTCCAACAATGTGCATGTATGATAGACAATAGTGCCCATCGCCAACTTTTCGGGTATTCTAAGCGAATAATACTACTTGATTTCACCCACGGCCCCAAAGTGCAATTTCACGGCAACGGGACATGAACCATGAACCCTCGAATTCACGGTACGGCACTTTAACCACTATATGACGCCTAGAATAGGAGTATATGCTTAAAATCACGCTAGTCTGTAGATTTTTAAAACAATTCATAAACAAATCCAAATACAAAAATTTGTTTTAAAGATATTTGTAAATAAAAACATTATATGGTCATTGCTTCAATCATTAGTAGTCCTGTTTGGCCGATACGTTAGACTAGTTAAATGTTTTTTTTCCTCACAGTGATTTGACCCATTTTTATATTGTCGATTGATTTGGTTTATATAACTTAACAATATTTTCAACCATTAACAGATAAATAAAAACATAGTTACTAGATTAACATCCAATCTTCAGTTGGTTATCTTTACTGTTAGCAATGTTTTCGTCATTAACCGATAAATAAAAACTTAGTGACTAATAACATCCAGGCTTCAGTTGGTTACCCTTACTGTTAGCAATGTTTTCGTCATTAACCGATAAATAAAAACTTAGTGACTAAATAACATCCAGGCTTCAGTTGGTTACCCGTATTTTAAAAATATTTTCAGCCATTAACAGATGAATAAGAGCTGAGTGACTAGATTGAAATCCAGTCTTCGTGTGGTTACTCATACTATCAATAACGTTTTCAGCCATTAACAGATGAACAAAAACTTGGTGAATTGATTAAAACCCAGTCTTCAGTTGATTACTCTGACTGTTAACCATATTTTCGACCTAAGCCTTAATAACTGTATTTATCGTGATATCTGTTGGAGTTTGCTTTTTATCAGTGCATATATTAAGCAATTCTAATCAAAATTACACAGGTTCGAGACTAAAAAGTAACCAATAAATTAATGAGGCCAGTTTCGTTCAACAAACTATTTAATGGTTTACAATAATTTGTCCTTTAAAAACATTAATCATTGGGCCACGGCTACACCATTTGAGTTAATTAACTTTCGAATGTAATGCTTATAAAATAAGCCTAAAATATGAGAATTGAGTCCTAAAGCATCTATCTCAACAAGAACGTTTGAACAGGTGCATGCAACTCTTGCTAATGCCGGAAAAAGAGGTACATTGCATTAGCTTGTCGTTGTTGTGTAAGCTCTGTTCGACGTCAGGTCAAGAGGAGTTCTCCACCCTTCAGACCAGATCTATTTATCTGACTAAAGAACCTCCCCTTGACAGAACACACCCTCCTACAAATTCCAGTAATCACTTGGCGACCAACGTGGGGGTTCATCTGAAACGTGTTGACCACAACTACTTTACAGAAAAGAAAAATAAAAAGTCGCTGTGTAACGTTCTTCAAAGATAATCACTTATCGAAGAAGTACAACATGAGCAGCTAAATCACAAAGGAAGTTCTAGCAAAGGCTCCTGTTTCCTATCATATAATTGTTTTCTTGTGTATACTGAGGAGATGCGACACGAGTATCACATCCGTTTCTTACTTAGTAGTGGGATTTAACACTTTATATTACAAGTACTAAGATATAACTACCTTAGTTTTATGGTACGAATAAGAAATGAGATCTATATATATTCAAAAGAAAAGAACAACGTAACCACAGTATAAAGTTTATTGTTGATTTCTCGAGTTTTTACGTACTATAATTTTACATAACTAATTCTACCAGAAATTTAAGAAAATGCCTGTCTATCCTATCCAATCTTAAAATACAAGAGATGGACGTTGTAGAATCTTTAGATTTCTAGTAGATCTCATGGTAGACGCTGTATGCTTGTTTTGTGTTGTTCTTTATACGCACTTATGCCTGTTGGTGACGCAGGAAGATGTATTCCTCTTTCCTGGGGGAGGTGGGTAGCTTCCATGATGGTGATTCCACGTCGGTTGAGGATTTCAGAAACAGCCCCCCCCCTCATCTAATGAACCTTCTTTTTATATCAAATAGTCTTTAGTTACGGTAAGATGGTTCGTAGAATATCAGTGCATAGCACTCTATGATATGAAAGAAAATTATGATATGATATGAAACTCTATGATATGAACGAAAATTACATATTCCAAGTAGCCTGTGAATAGGTTCTAATTTCCTTCAACTGTGGAGGCGTAATAATGTAACTGTCAATGCCACTATTCGTTGGTAAAAGAGTTAGCCCAAGAGTTGGCAGTGGGTGTTGATTAGCCCTCGATTGGCTTTGCACGAAATTAAAATACAAACAGATATATTCCCAGTATTTTATTTATCAAAATTAACCTGTTTTATTTAAAATAACAAACCGATTCCGTTTCTTCACTGAAAACTCTTTAGCAGTAAAGGTTAAAAGGATTAGAAAAGCAAAATCTTTAAATCGAGTTTCAATTATTAAAACTGATCTATAAACAAGTTTTAAGCGCATTGTTAAAACTATTGAATATTAAAGTGTTATGTTTAAGTCGATACACTCACACACATATATAGGTTTTCTAAGACCTTTATCTAATTCCTTTGAAAATTGGAACTTAGTTTTAAGTTTTCTTGTTTATTTATTCTTATCCTGTTGAGTAGCCAACGAATTTGTGAATTTTGTTTTTTGTCCTTGTCGAAGTAAAATTATTAAATTCATAACCATTGGAAGCGCTGTTTATGGACAACATCGTTTTCAGGTCATTGACCATAACCATTTTACAATTTCTTTCCATCATAGCTTCTGACGGCGTTAACGTGATTAAACGTTTGACAGCAGACCTACACTTGGGATTTACTCGAATATTGTGAATTTACAACGAAAATAAAATAAAACCCAGAGACATGCGCAACAGCAATAAATAAGGAATAAGAGTATGTCTACTTTGAAACTAATTACAGATATCGACATAGATAAGGAATAGAAGTAAGACTACTGTGAAACTAATTACAGATATCGACATAATCAACAAATAGGAGTAAGTCTACTGTGAAACTAATTACAGATATCGACATAATCAACAAATAGGAGTAAGTCTATTGTGAAACTAATAACAGATATCGACATAGATAAGGAATAGAAGTAAGACTACTGTGAAACTAATTACAGCTATCGACATAATCAACAAATAGGAGTATGTCTACTGTGAAACTAATTACAGATATCGACATAGATAAGGAATAAGAGTTTTTCTACTGTGAAACTAATTACAGATATCGACATAAATAAGGAATAAGAGTAAGTCTACTGTGAAACTAATTACAGATATCGACATAAATAAGGAATAAGAGTAAGTCTACTGTGAAACTAATTACAGATATCGACATAAATAAGGAATAAGAGTAAGTCTACTGTGAAACTAATTACAGATATTGACATAAATAAGGAATAAGAGTAAGTCTACTGTGAAACTAATAACAGATATCGACATAGATAAGGAATAAGAGTAAAACTACTGTGAAACCAATTACAGATATTGACAATATTTTCAGATACCTAATAAATTTATAAACAGATATATAATAGTATATAGAACACGACCATTCAGGTGTTATATCATTGTGCCAGTTATGTGTTGACAGTATTTTCCGATACTTAAATAACATGAACATACATAGATATATATATATAATATTTATCTACACAAATCTATTAACACGTAGAAAACATCTAGATTTATTAACTTTTAATGAAACGCATTGTTAAATCAATTGGGTAATTTCATTTTTTGAATAAATGTTTAAACATATGATGAGCGAATATCATAATCAAACTTTACTTATAGAAAAATGTTTGAATGTTTATTTTTTTAAGAATATTATAAACAAATTACTGGTGATCCCTTTACGTGTTAGTTTCACCACTTCCTGAACAAGAAATAAAGTTTCCTAGCCTAACTTTAACAGAACACAGGACTCCGTGTTGCGGCTTATTTTACTGATAACTTAATGGCGAGGCTCGAGAAGGATAGCTCTAGGAAATGAACAAACCTTAGTCTGTCTTTTCTCGTAAATCACTCCACCAGCAAGATAGAAAATAGATAAGAATCTCTTTATATCTTTTTTTTCTCCCTCTTTGCAGTTAATGTGTAAAGTACTCGATTTTCAAGGCAAGAACTGTGTTGGAACGATCGTATTGGAATAGCATGTGTGATCAGAACGATCGTATTGGAATAGCATGTGTGATCAGAACGATCGTATTGGAATAGCATGTGTGATCAGAACGATCGTATTGGAATATCGTATGGTTAGAACGATCGTGTTTGAATATCAGGTATGGTCAGAACGACTATATTGGGATGTGTGGTTAGAACGATCGTATTGGGATCTCAATGTACGGTCAGAACGATCGTATTGGAATATCATGTGTGATCAGAACGATCGTATTGAAATATCGTATGGTTAGAACGATCGTGTTTGAATATCAGGTATGGTCAGAACGACTATATTGGGATGTGTGGTTAGAACGATCGTATTGGAATAGCATGTGTGATCAGAACGATCGTATTGAAATATCGTATGGTTAGAACGATCGTGTTTGAATATCAGGTATGGTCAGAACGACTATATTGGGATGTGTGGTTGGAACGATCGTATTGGAATAGCATGTGTGATCAGAACGATCGTATTGGAATAGCATGTGTGATCAGAACGATCGTATTGGAATAGCATGTGTGATCAGAACGATCGTATTGGAATAGCATGTGTGATCAGAACGATCGTATTGAAATATCGTATGGTTAGAACGATCGTGTTTGAATATCAGGTATGGTCAGAACGACTATATTGGGATGTGTGGTTAGAACGATCGTATTGGGATCTCAATGTACGGTCAGAACGATCGTATTGGAATATCATGTGCCATTAAAACGATTGTATTTTGATATCATGTGTTCAGAACAATTGTACTGGGATATCATGTGTGATTAGCCACACGTGATGTCCAAATACAATCGTTGCCACACATGCTACTACAATCGTTCTGACCAAACGATATCTCAGTACACTCGATCTTACTACCACACGTGATGTCCAAATACAATCGTTCGACTCTTATAATCAGCAAAGAATCTGTAACTTTTGTTAAAAAAACTAAGCCTATAGACCAGAATGAAAAAAAAAAACTTAGTGAACAAATTATCTAATTCTGAATATGGTCTAATTAAGAGTATGTAATGTCATAAAATAAATCACATGAAAAAAAATTATAACAACTAAAATGTATTGATTCACGGGTTCTGTGCACGCGCTGCTACCGATATTTTCAGCGGTAATCACAATATCTCAATAGCTACACGATGGGTTATCTGTGCTCTGCCCATCAGAGGCTAACTTTAGGCTAACAATACAAAATAGTCTTCACAAGCGTAAAAATAAAATTATATACATTTGTATATATTAAACATCATAAACCATACTATATATATATTAAACACCATAAACCATACTATATATATATATTAAACACCATAAACCATACTATATATATATATTAAACACCATAAACCAAACTATATATATATGTATATTAAACACCATAAACCATACTATATACATATTAAACAACATAAACCATACTATATACATATTAAACACCATAAACCATACTATATATATTAAACACCATAAACCATACTATATATATATATATTAAACACCATAAACCGTACTATATAT